AATTCGTATGCTAAATGTCGGCACGTATTAAATGAATGAATGAATCAATCAATCAATGAAACAATCAATCGACATGTATAAAAACGTAACCACTAATAGCAATCAAACCATCCTAACTCGGAAAAGCAGCCGGAGCCCTGATGAGGCTCGAACCGGGACTCCACGCTGTAAACTTTGCCTATGATCCATCATCATTCCACCAAGCTAGAGTGACCGGCACCCGAACCCACAAAAACATTAATTGACTTTGCCGCCGACCTCCCGGCCCCGCCGCCCGCCCGGCCAGACTTTGCCCCGACCATAGCCACCATCCGGTGTAGCTCAGCGTAGGAGTGCTCGACTGTCAAACTGACCGGTAGTGAGAGGCCCGGTTCGAAACGCTTCGGATTCTGGATGTTTATTTCTCGTTGGGAGGCTTTGCGTTTAGACCACTTTTCAGAAAGATCATTTGGTGACTGACCTGTTTTCTTTCTTTGCTGCAATTCATGAGGAGACCGTACCTATATGCACCCTTACCTGGGGCTTACCTGGGTCCGGCCTGGCAGCACGGACAGGCCGCTGATATACGAGATCAGCGAATGGTGGACACCGAGTTGAGGTGTGCCTTTGTCGCACCTGGAGAGGGGTGCGATACATAGCCAATGTGATTTGCGAAATAATGAAGCTAACTGAGCTCCAAAATGGACCTGAGGACTGTTCACTCAGTTACATATTCGTTCAGAGTTAGTTGATCATACTCATAACAATTGTGTTGCACTGTCCAATGAAGTTAAATGCATTTGCTTGTCTGATTGCATATATCATATATATGTTACAGGGAGTATGCGATTTCAGTTAGTTTGCAACGACCCTAGGGTGGTTGTAACCTCCCTGAACGATCAGTTTGTTTGCAACGACCCTAGGGACGTTACAAAATAACTGCTCGTTCCGGGACGTTGTAACGAAACTAGGGTCGTTGCAACCTCCCTAGTTAGTATGCAACGAACCTAGGGTTGTTACAAAATAACTAGGCAGTTTAAGAATTCATCGAGTCTCATTTCACATGAGGGCCGTCAGCAATCTTGTCCATTGAAAATCTTGTTCAATCTAGTTCATTTAAAAAGAAAAGAAGAACAAAATTTGAACATTCAGCTCAGGAGTATTTCAGAACGGCCATCTAGTACACATTTTGTGCAGATTAGGTGCACATTTGGTGCAGATTTGTTCAAATTAGATGGGCATTTGCCAGGAAGCCCTTCGTAAAAACGGTTATTATCCGCTCGTTTCCAGTCTTTTTCTGATTGTTAACGTTCAAACATGTGAAATGATGATGGTCCCATGCATTATAGTGGGTGTCAAGGTCACGTGAAGGTCAGGTCAAGGTCATTGACCTTTGATGACTTAGTTCACTTCTTCTGGGTTCATATATTCTTTAGGCTAGTTTTTGGAGCTGATTTCGAATTTAGTACCCATTTGAACATTTAAGAAGCAATTTTGGCGCCATCGTACCATGTCACGAGGCTGTCAGTGGTGGTTGACACCTACTATGGATAGCTAGCAAGACGCCTACTGGTTGACCTGACCTGACCTGACCCGACCTGACCCAAAAACATCAAGACATCATCGGTGATCAAAGCTAACATGAAATTCGTGATCAGCGCACCGAAAAACCTCGTAACAAGCTAACTCTCCAAAGTTTTAACAGGTCCCGATTTTCCCGACTTCTGAGTCACTGACCTGACCTGGAAAGTCAACCAATAACCTAGCTCCGCCTTGTGCGTTTGCAGCTAACAAAACAGCAATAAGGGCGAGAGTTAACCCTCGCCCGCACATGCCATTTTCCCATCCTAGAACGCACATGGGGGGGGGGGGTTGCCACCACCCCCCGCGCCATTTCGTTCCTGTTGGAGATAGAGCTTCGCGGTAAAGACCAAAAAGATTCTTTGGGAAGAAACGAATCCAATGATACCCAGTTTTACCTTCTCAGGTCAGTCATTGACCTTCCAGGTCAGGTCAAACTAAAAAATGTTGCTGTTTTGGGTCACCGTTGGATATCAAGTGCGCTGCTTATCATATAGCGATGACGATGCCGTTTTCTGGTGCCCAGCTAGCTAGAACCTCTTTGTCACACTACCCGACCAGATTTTTGTTGCTGAGGTCATTTCAGGTCAAGTTAGGTCGAGGTCAATGATATGTGTTTGTATGTCTGTGTGTGTCTGTGTGTATAATGATGTGTGCACCGATTGTTTGTGTTCCTATTACATGAAATCATGATCTGAGAAGCTTTCACCAATAATGCAGTCAAAAAACTTCACGAAAAGTAAATTCAGCTTGCCTAAAACGCAATTATTTTAGATGACCTAGGTTGACCTTAACCCTGACCTTGACATCTGTACATCGTCGAACAACATGTTCCATGATAGGTGGGAGGTAAGACTGGCAAAAAAGTCCAAAATCAAGGTGTCAAAAGCTCACAAGGCCCATAGCCAACGCACACTGGGCCGGGGGTCCGGAAAAGTGCTAGAAATTATTTGTGATTGAGTTGTTGATCTCAGTGACAAGCAAACATGCTAAAAACGAAGTGGGGCTGCTTAACCCTCGCCGGACCTATTGTCGGACCCCCCACCCCCTCGGCCAGCCGAGGGGGGAGGGTTGGTACGACCCCTTTTTGCCGTTTCGCCCCTCATGGAGCTAGAGCCTCGCGGAAAAAACAAGCGTGTGCGCCGTTTCAAGGCGGAACGATTGATACCCGATTTTAAGGTCCCAGGTCAACCGGTAACCTCTGAGGTGAAGTCAAAAAGCCCAAGGTAGGGTTTGGTTTTTGGCAAATAATTTCGCAAAAAAATGGCCGCAGAGCAGCGATTTTGGCACCATCGTGTTCGCCTGGCTCAGGCGCGTCGAATGGTATACTTTTTGTTCGGCAGAGGTCAACTTAAGGTATTGACCTCGAGTCAAGGTCAGTTCAGAGCCCATCAGGCCACGAACTTAATCGAAGGAGGTCGTATCGCATATCATTCGATTCGGGAGGTCTTTCCGAGTCCATTGGTGGCTTTCCCGAGTCGCTGGCTCAATTTGATCATGAGTTATTGACGAGAAACTCCTATGACCGGTGTGACGTCATAAATGACGTCACGGAAGGTCAAAAATGCAAAAGTAAAGCATCGGATCTTGCAAGGAGTGCACGAAATCACGATTTCGTGTGCTTGAGATAGTTTGAAATCATTCCATGCGCAAAAACAACAGTTTCCTTATTTCCCCATTCACTTTTAATGGTGAGGTCACGTGACCTCGAAGAGTAGCAGGCATTAGCAAAAATTGAGAGTAGGGCATGACAGAAAGATGATTGGTGGTTTGTATGGCATGGCCATTTTTAGCGGCTCGAAATAACATTTCTCAAAAAGTCTAACTAAAGAGCAAGTTGTTGTTGATTATCACTGACTTGTGTTTAGGGGTTAATAATGACTGAATTTTTTAGTTTGGCCCAGAAATGTTGACAGCATTGTGTGCGTTGATCAATTTTGAGCTCAGGGACATATACTTTATTTAGATTATAAGCGTTTGTTTTTCACAACTTCCAGCGTTTTAAAGAGCGCCGGGCCTTCAGTAGAGCGGCGAGGTGACAATTGCCCCTACATCATGTGGTTTACTGGCGCATATCTCGAAAAGTAGCAGGGAAAAGCAGCAAAGCACCTATATGGAACAAAAGATGAGTAATCAGAGGCTAGTATAAAATGTTCAATTTTAGCCGCTCGAAATAACGTTTTTATAAAAGTATAATTAAAAAATTGGATATGATTTTAAATTACGTCTTGCAGCTGCTTGCAAACAGCTAGTTTATCTTGCAGAAATGCGATGCAATATGTCAGAATGATGTTGGCACAGTGTACAACAGTGCCCTGAACTAGTCTTACAGGAAATTTCGTTCAAAACGACGATTGGTCAACTAATAAATTACCACTAAAGTTCATCATTAAAATCGGTAAATGTGGTGGCCTATAGAGAGTCTAAATTGTCTTGTGTTTGATGGCAACTGACGACCTCAATTTTGACCTTAGGGCAAAACTAGCATCGGAATCGTATTCTTCAATCAATTTGGGATTAAATGATTCCTATTTTGTTCATATTGCGGACAGTCAGTTTGGGGGAATTTCTAGCGCTTTTTCAGGCTGCCGGCCTACAGTGCAACGCAAGATGTTGAGAATTGGCCATTTGGGTCATGACGACCTGAAAAACAAGGTCATATCTCCGAAACCAAAAACCACAAAAACTTGAATTTTTTAGTGAACATCTAGAAAGGATAGAGGAGCAGCTATACCAAAAATCAGGCTTCTAGCTCTAAAAATGTTGAGTGCAGAGCAGAAAGACTACCTGGGGGAGTGGCAACCACCCCCCATGTGCCCCCTGTGAAACGAGACTCGATGATTTCTTAAACTCCCTAGTTATTTTGTAACAACCCTAGGTTCGTTGCATACTAACTAGGGAGGTTGCAACGACCCTAGTTTCGTTACAACGTCCCGGAACGAGCAGTTATTTTGTAACGTCCCTAGGGTCGTTGCAAACAAACTGATCGTTCAGGGAGGTTACAACCACCCTAGGGTCGTTGCAAACTAACTGAAATCGCATACTCCCTGTAACATATATATATATATATATATATATATATATATATATATATATATATATATATATATATATATATATATATATATATATATATATATATATGTTACCACTGTATAACCATTGTCTACGGTGTCCATAAGACCATGCGAATTCATAGCTGTTTCGTTTTTTTTTTCCATATATTGACATGTATTGAAGTCGGCTGATCCTGTCTGTATGGTGTCTGCGTGTTTTCTAGACTGTCCTGATCTCACGGCCGGCTGCCTGGAGCCCCTCACCAGGTGCCCTGGGCTGCGGGAACTCACCCTGTCCGGCGGCGTCCCTGACTCCGTGAGCCTGGAGCCCCTCACCAGGTGCCCTAAGCTGCAGTATCTCACCCTGTCCGGCGGCGTCCCTGACGCCGTGAGTCTAAAGCCGGCCCTCACCAGGTGCCCTGAGCTGCGATGCCTATCAGTCACCGCCGCCGACCTCCTGCGACTGAGGGAGCAGCTGCCGGAGGGTCTCAAGCGCCTCAATGTCAGAGGTGAGATACCACGGATAATACATGCAATGCCGGTATAATGGACAATGTATATAGATAAACAAATGGACAGGGAGACGGCAAATGGACGAACCGTTTGAATTCAGCCAACATCTTACAGCCTTGTTTGTGTTATATCCCTCGCCCATGTAGGGGGGGGGGGTGCAACCCAGGCATCGGTAAAATCCTTTTTGAAAGGATTGCATTCCCAATCCACATTCCTAGTGCCGAAGTGGATTGCATTCCTATACCCGCAATCCCCTTTTTCACTTGGATTGTGATCAAATCCGCAATCTTTTTTTGCAATCCTGTTGTATTATTATGTGCACTATAATAGTGGATCTGGGGGAGGGAGGGGGCATAGGGCCGTGCCTCCATCCCCAAATCACTCATTTCTAGTACCTAGTCTTGCGAGTAATTCCTATCTAAGGCACAGGTATTTTATGGGAAATATTTTTTGCCTCAGACACCCCCACATTTAAACCTCTACCCAACCAGTGTTTTATGTTTTTAAAACTCGCCCTCAAATACGTAATTTTGCCCTTTCTATGTAGTTCATCAGCGTATATTATTTTGAGCGTTTAAATTAAAAGCGTTTAAATTATTTCAAGTTTCGATGTAAAGCCCTTGATAGCAAAGTACATTAAGCCGATGAAGCCGATCTCATAATTTTCAATCGCAACAAACCATTTTTTTTTTCTACTAATAGTCCGTTACCCATGATCAGGCAACCAGGAGTGCCCCCACCCTCAGTCCCAGCGACGCACAGAACCCTTACGTTAAAGGAAATAGTTCACTTTCACGAAATTATTTTTTTTGCAATGGATTTATGATTTTTTATGTTCAAAATGATCAGCAAAGAAAATAAAACCTATTTATAACAAAAGATTATTTTCTATATTTTGATATAGGAAGGACTTTTCAGTTTCTGTAAGGCACAGGCGATCCAGTATGAAAAGAGCATGGGTCCCGAAAATTCTTCAGAAACTAGAGAAATGATCGCGGCCACCGGCATTTGGGTGATCTGCTGCTGCTGAATGTCCTTATTGATCAGTACGAGAATTTCTCTAGAGTTCTCGTAGATAATTTTTCTAGTTTCTGAAGAATTTTCGGTACCCATGCTCTTTTCATACTGGATGCGAATATATGCAAGGCACACATCCTCAACGCAAGACACCTTTTTCGGGACGAGAAATAGAATATCTTTGCCTAGGGTGATCGTTGGGCAGTAAAAGCTCCTGATTTATGCTCGTCTCAGCCCAGGCTACGGAACTGCTATTCCAGTTCAAAACCCATGTTAAAAAGTGAACTATTTCCTTTAACACCAAAATAAAAATCAAAGTTGAAAAGTCGCGGCACTCCCTGCTAAGAAGAGGAAAAAACATAAAAGAAGCGGAATTGACTACGTATGATATTATTTAACTTGGTTAGTAGATACAGAGAGCCATAGTAGTTAATGCCAAATCTAGCATCAACTGTCCGCTAAGGGTTCAATCGTACATTGTTAGTGAGGAACACGCACTCACTCACTTGGAAGGGGACATTAGTGGGGTAAATCAGGTCTGGTCTAATTCATGCATGTTGTCTTGCCATCCCTCCCGATGCCCTCCAGCTAAGCCGAGCTTGTTGCAAGAGAGTCATCGGGAGAGATGGGGCCTGATATGGTGATTATATGCGAGCAAACATTTCCATGCCAACACTCTCCCAGTCTCACACTCCTGCGGCCCGCCTGGCCAGGCCAGGGCGGTATCATTCACCAATGCGTGAGGAATGGTCCGCCCCGGCCCCGGGGGGAACTCAACGTTGCCTCCCCAGCCGGGGAGATCTGTGGGGCACCTCCCCGGCGTTCCAGGCGGGCGGCCCGCCCCCACCCGCGCCGCCCCGCGTACCGGGTTCATCACGCGTGGACGGCGCCCCGCGGCCGGCCAGCCGAGCGGGAGGTCAGCCCATCGTATGGGCCGGCCCCCCGCCCGGCCGGCCAGCCGACCGGCCCCGCAGTTAAACTGGGCCGGTCTCGGGTTAGCCCGGTGGGTGGGGTGGGGGCAACGTATCAGTCAATGTACCAATCTCTTAACGTAGTATTTTAGTTAAAAACGGTATGGATTTGATGAAGCATAAAATGAGTTTTCTTTTCTTTTTTTTCGTTTTCTTTAAAATCTATGATATGTGTTCTTATAGCTAGTTAACCGTGCGCCGGTAGTCAGGACTTGTACTCGATGAGAGTAACAGCATTGCATGTTCATTTTATACCGGTGTTGGTGCTTTTCATCTTAGTAGATGGTTCTTCACTTTAGTTTTGATTATCCCTATTCTGTCATATTTTGATAAGTCACAGAGTATGCTCAGTTTGTTCCATACTTCTGGGACGTAAAATTTTACAGTGTGTTTTCGATAATTGTTTCTGGTGGAGGGTACCTGGAATGTGTCTTTGTTTCTGGTCACACTTGGGGGTTTAAATTTGAACGATTTTCTTAGTATTGCTGGTTGAAGACCATTTAAGTATTTATATGCAAAAATAGTAGCTTTGTACGATACAATGTCTCGAATAGTGAGCATACCAATTTCTTTCAATCGGCGTGTCACGGATTCTCTGTATGGTAAACCCATAATTATTCTGGCTATGCGTTTTTGCACTGTCAAGATGCCTTTTAAGTTTGTTTCATAGTTTATGCCCCATACCAAGCAGCAATAGCTTATATGAGGCAAGACAAGGGCGTTGTACAGTAATAGGCTGTGGTGCTCACTTAGGCACCATCTAGCCCGACTGATTATACCTGCAATTTGACTTAGCTTAGTAGAAAGCTTTTTTATATGCTCTTTAAAAGATAGCTGTGAGTCTACATAAACACCTAAGAACTTAACACATGGAGCGTGCCTGATGTTATTGCCTTCAATATTTATATTAAGTTGATTTTGTTCTTTTCTTTTTGTATACACTTGATAGCACGTTTTTTCAAGATTCAGTTTAAGCTTGTTGCATTCAAACCAAGTGTTGATAAGTTGTAGCTCCCTATTCATCTTGCCTTCTAGTTTGTCATACATGCTGTCACTGAGGAAGATATTAGTGTCATCTGCAAAGGTTATGATATTCAATTGGTTTGATATGGTGCTTAGGTCATTCAAGTAAATAATGAATAACAAAGGGCCTAAAACAGAACCTTGGGGTATGCCACAAGTTATGCTTCTTGGTGAAGATAACTGCTCTCCTATTTTTACTCTTTGAGTTCTATTTTTCAGGTAATTTGCAATTAGATCCAAGGGCTTTCCTCTTATACCATATTTATTAAGCTTTTTAATGAGTACTTCATGATTGACACTATCAAATGCTTGCTTTCTTGACATCTAGATATACTCCAATGGCATGTTTTCCACTTTCTAGGGCTTCAGTGATAAAGTCTAAGAAGTAAATTAATGCATGTTCAGTAGAATGTTTCTGCCTGAATCCAAATTGGGTGGCAGATATAATACTGTGAGTTTCAAGGAAGCCGTATAATCTTTTATGAATAACCTTCTCAATGATTTTGGAGACATTTGAGATTAGTGAGATTGGTCTGTAATTCTGGGCTAATGACCTGTCTCCACTCTTGAAAACTGGGATGACAAGAGCTGTTTTGAGAAGGTCTGGAAATTTGCCTTGACTCATGCTCAGATTTGTTATATGTACCAATGGTCTTATAAGGGCAGGTTGCAATGCTTTGATGATTTTGACACTGATGCCATCATCACCTGGAGAGCCATCTTTCAGCTCTCTCACAATTGAGTTGATTTCTTCAATGTCAGTTGGTATCATAAACATAGTTTCAGTATTCTGATTCTTAATGAATGATAATGGGTCACAATTTGTGGCATTGACACTAGAATTTATCTTGGGGCCTACATTTACAAAGAAATTGTTGAGCAGGTCACATATTTCCTTTTGGTCGCTCACAATACCCCTTTCACCAACCAGGTTGGTTGGAGGAGAGGACACAGACTTTGTACCTAGTATTTCCTTGATGATGTCCCATGTCTTTTTCCCATCTCTTTTATATTTGTCTAGCTCATTTTGATAATAAGACCTTTTTGCCTTCCTAATGATCTTAGTAAGCAAATTTTTACATTCCTTGTATTTTGCAAAGTTTTCTTTGCTCCTATTTTTCAGGTAACATTTGTACAGCATGTCCTTTCTATTTACAGATGTTAGCAATGCTGATGTCATCCATGGTTGTTTCTTAATCGTTTTCCTGTTGTAGGGCTTTGGAGGAAAGTACTCTTTTATGTTATTTTGAACATTGGTTATGAGCTCAGCACAAGCTTCATCCACATCCTGTTGCTCCTCAAACCCTTCTAATTTGCGTTCTAGGAATGACACAAATCTGACAGCCCTGACAGTTGTGATCCATGGCATTTTTGTACCTTTGGGTTTGGAATTACTTTGAGTAATATTAATGGTTGTTAAGTTAATGATTGGAAAATGATCACTAATATCATTATTAGTTAGGACTCCTGAGAAAACATCACAGTCTGAGCTGGTGTAGATGTTATCCAGGAGTGACTCTGTCTCAGTAGTGATTCTAGTAGGCTTACTGATAGTTGGGATCAACTTGTTTGAGATAAGTTTATCTATAAATTGATTGACCTGGCTAGCTTTATTAAAGTTTAACCCGCGCCCTGGTGTGGGTCTGAGCCACCTTCGCCCTGGTGGGGGGGGGGGCCAAAATGACCCCCCCCCGTCTAACTCGAAAACGAAGAGGGCTAGGAAGACGCTGAAAAAAGCAAACGAAAGCCCATAACAAGTACGTTCGAAAGTATTTCGGTCATTTTTTCGCTAAGGTCAATATTGAGGTCGCTAGAGGTCATCATAGGTCAAATTTCAGTGTTTTCGGTGTTGCCGGACATATTCCGCTGTAGCTCGGAAACTAGAAGAGCTAGAGAGCCGCGGAAAAAAGCAATCGATAGCTCTTTTCAAGCTCTTTCGCCAAGGTTCGTCAGATTTGACCTCAGCTCAACGGTTTGGCCTACAG